TACATACAATCACCGTTGATGATATTCCGGGTGGCTTATGCGTGTGTAGCTTGTTTGATTTGTATTTGTTTATTTTTGCGTTGTAATGTTGCCGCTGTTTAGTAAATTTCGGTATTTCTGTTTTATAAACTTTCTCTGTAACCGCTGTCACAATTTAAAATGGTATAAAATTTATTTGTTTTAAAAAAAATACGAGAAACTTTACACAAAATGTAAATAAAATTTTTTTTTTACATATAAAAATAACATTTTAAAACTTGCAGAACAGCTCTGGATTAGATTGTTACATTGGGATTACGTACGGATATAACATTAAGGACCAGGTAAATTTAAAATAAAAAAACATCAAATTCGTAACAAGCTAGACCGGACCAAACTTGATTAGTAAGCATGAAGATTTTATATATTGAACTTATGACATCTTTCTAACGGTCAAATGATTGAATATCATGTTTAATGTTAACAATTATGCAATTTTAGCACTCAAATTTTGTTTAGTTTGAGAAATGAGAATTGAATGGTTAGATGGTATGGTACAAAAGTTTACCCTCATTTCCAAGCTTTGAAACATAAGAGGAAGGGTTTATGAAACGATCGGACCACTAATTAGTGTGCAATTTCACCCTTATTTTCATGTTTCATACAGTAGCTGAAAAAATATTCTTCATCTCTACATTTTTTTTTTAAGTTGTTATAAATATTATTGGTCAAAGAGTTTTTTTTTTGTTTTAACATACTCCATTTAATTAGCTAAAACTTGAGAACATAGATTTCTCCCTCTCAACAATCATTTACAATTATTATTATTTTTAGTAAATATTTGATTGGTTTCACTAGATTTTTTTCAAGACAAATTATATCAGAAATTCGGATATTTTTACATTACAGTGTGAATTTATCCTCTATATATTAATAGAAAATATACTAGGTGAAAAATCTCATGTGTCAATCATAGAAGATTTTAAAGAACTTTTAATGAAGGCTTCTAAAAATTCTTATGTAAATAATTACCCATAGAATTTAACATCAGCCCATTTCAAATTTTACCAAGCCCAACAATAATTGCCAACAAATCTATGCTAATTAATTCTAAGAGTTTTATTTAAAGAATATAATTAATAATATTTCCTTTTCTCAATAACACGATCTATGGCCAAACCTACAGTAAACACTACAATTGATTATCCTCTATATATTAATTGAGCAGACGTTAAGTAAAAAAATTCTATGTGTCACTCAATGATAACTTTAAGGGACATGTCTTTATTTTTAACCAATCAAATTATTTCAATAATTTTTTTTTGCCATGGTGAAATTCTATACATATTTTTATTAAATTTTTAACATGGATTCACAAATACATGGTACAACTTTAAATATAACTTAAAACTAACATTTTAATTTAACTTAAAACTAACATTTTAATATAACTTAAAACTAACATTTTAACTTAAAACTAACAACTTTAAAAAACTAACATTTTTAGTATAACATAATGTTTTAACGCAAAATCATTTACCAATGTCAATTATTTTATAAAAATTGTATTATTTGTCCATTTAGATATTATATTTGAAAATATAATTTAATCATACAACTATTTTCTTTAAAATTACTTAAATGGTATCCATATTAGTTCAATTAAAAATTGAGTAAACATACAAATTTATTTTAAAAATTACAATTTTCATAGAAACATTATAGGTATATTGATATTGGTGGAATCCAAACAGTTTTAAAAAAAAATTAAAAACCAAAAATTTAGTGTTTCAAGTTTTAAAATCATCAGTTTCAC